ACACACACACACACACACTCTCACTCACACACATCCACACAGTTGAAAACTCACACACACCTCACATGACACCGCACCCCAATAAAAAACAGACATTCACATTCAGTTTTGAAATACAAACAGAAGCTTTTCAATTCTTCACATGCCTCATAAAATATTTAATTGTACAGAGTGATCTCTTTGTTAAGTCTATTCGATCAAACAGTTTTAAAAATTAACCTGACACCCTAATCCCAGTGTTTACAATTGTTTGTCTCACAGTTTCTATATAAGCAGGCTCAAAGCTCCTTTTGTAAATTGTCTACTCAGTAATTAGTTGCCCAATTAATGACTTTTTTTTTTGGAGGTGCTGCAAACTATCTATATGGAAGAGATGGCTTGTGGTTTCAGGAATTCACGAGAGATTTAAAATTAAATTTTAATTCAGGAATGACATAATGAATGTGACAATCTGTTCTTGGTATTAATATAACACAGCTCATTGGTAGTAAGTGGCTATTACCTGATTAGGGTATTATTTCAGACATCACACTCAGCACCATCGCTCTATAAAGCACACAGAAAAGCTAACTATCCATCTGTGAGGAATTTGAATTTGTTACAAATTTACATGGGGAATACTACATTTTTTTTTAAAAAAAATTTAGCCCAATATAAATTTATCAATTAATTTTACTTCTGCATTGCACTTGTTACATTTAAATCAAATCTTGTGGACTGAGAAGATGGGTCAATGGGCAAGAGTGCTTCTTGTGCAAGCATGAGGATCTGAGTCAAATTGCTGGGGCACATAGAGAGGGAGCCAGGCATGACTGCCCCAGTGATATGGAGAGCAGAGACAAGAGGGTCTCTGGTGCTTGCTGGCTGCTAGCCTAGTCCTAGGTTCAGCGAGAGATCCTGTCTCAAAGCAATAAGGCAGAGAGTGATATATACATATCATATACACGTCATATACAGGTATACATACAACAATTCCATTTTAAGTATCCTGATTTGGTTTTTAAAAATGACTCAGATTCTAGAGCTGAATATTAAACACATTTAGAGGGCTTGCAGCCTCAATACGCAATGCTGTATACCAAAGGGACAACCATTCGTACTATTTTCAAATGCTTACTTGCAACCATGTCGAGTGCACTGTCCTCGGCCGGAACAGAATTTGAGACACGATGGACCTATGTAAACTACAGGGAGAAAGACGTCATGTAAAAGATAGCAGCATAACTGGGAAACCCGAGAACATTACCAGCGCAGTCTTAGAAAGCAACACTCACGAAACACGAAGCACTTGGTCACAAATATGTCGGCTCTGTTTTAATTTCCATAAATAATTCTTTCAAGATTTTAATATTTGCTCTCAGAGGAACAGGGCCTTTTAGTTTCTATTCCCTACTGCAGCACCTTCTGCTCCAGTAACTATACACACACCACTGGTGCTTGGGCTTCACATGTTCTATAATGCATAGGTTCTTTGGGGAGAAATAAAAAACTCTACCTGATGCGCCACAAAGAGGAGAGGTCACAGTTATAATTTCTACTCTTTCCTGCGAGGAAACCTATTTGACTATAGATGATCACTGCACGTATTTCTAAATATTAATTCCTCCTCCCAGGAACTATGGAGCAACATCAGGAATCTGTTGTTGAGCGTAATGCCTTCTCCACAATGTACAGTCCCCCCACTAAATGCTGACTTGACTGACAATGACCATATTCACCTAAAGTCTAATCTTCAGCATGTGGAAAAGGCCTCAAAGCACTGCATCTGAACTAGTCAATCTAATATATGTAAAGATGTAAGTATTCTATTATGACCATAATGACTGCCAGTACTGAAACAGGGAACAAAGGTAATTAAGCGAAGGGTTGCCGTGGCTGCTACGACTCTACAATACTCAGTTTCGGGCATAAAACATTTCCCGTCTATTAGCATTTTCTTCTTTGTCCTGTAATCACATCAAACAACTTGTTTCAAAATAAGCTTTGGTGCAGCCTGAGCTCTCAGGGGCAGAGAAGCCCTGTTCCCAATTAGCAGGAGCAGAAAAATCTAAAGAGTCACAGTGCAATACCTCTTGGTGAAGGAAACAGCGTGTTTAGAAGAGATTAAATAATACACTGCCTGGCTAAAAGTGCTTGCATTAGGCATCAGCTAATCGTAGATTCACAGTCTGGTTTTGCCTGGAAAACTCTGGGCAAGTGATCTACCCCAACTAACCCTGTCTCCCTTCTATAAAGTGGGGTGATGCTATTCCTTAGAGCAAAGAGTAACTATCATGCTCATGATGCCTTGTACCATGTGGCTGTGATCGCCACACAGTCCTCCTGCCCTGCTGTCCATCAGGGTCCACTAGCCTCTAAGTGCTGGGGAACAGGACAGGCACACTTGGCTGCAAGCCCGCAGGAGGCCCTGACCTGGGATCCCTCAGAGTATGCTGCATGGGGCCTCAACACCACATCATTGTTGGAGGAGCCTTCATAGAAACAAGATCATCGATAACAAGGCTTTCCGAGTCAATACAACCACAATCAAGGATTTACCATCCTCTCCAACTGACTTCATCATCATCATCATCATCATCATCATCATCATCATCATCATCATC